CCTCTCTATTTCCAGCCAAATTGTATAGATCCATAGCACTTTGCCTGTGGCTGTCCACTGCTCAAAGACCTTTTTCTTTATGGAGGTGTTTGACATCACATTAGCATTGTCAGGTTTTTCGCTAGAGGCCATGAGAAATCATTTAGGACTCTTACGGGCCAGCATCTGTAGGCTCTTCCCTCCATGAACTGAATGGGCTGAGCACATGGAGAAAAGAAGACTGCTCGTAGATTGCCTACATAGAAAGGGGTAAGTAGCTCCCTCTCTGTTTTGGAGGATAACTACTGATTTGATGTGATTGTGGAGCTCCTGGTTGAGGCAAAGAATATTGTCACTTTACAAGGTGCCAGATAAATCTTAGTGGGAAACTGTCTTCAGTTTCCCACTAAGTGTGTGGTTCTGGTCACTCCGTTTATAAAGATGCATTAAAGCAGAAATAGCTGCTGAGAAGGATGATGTTAAGAAGAAAAGCCTTTTTTATTAGAGAGGAATAAAAGAGCTTGGCTTTTATAGTCTTGCAAAAAAGCTAAGAAAATGGATATTACTAGCTGTAGATAAATGGAAAGTAAATTCCAAGGTGGAAAGCATTTATTTAAGTGAAAAGGTAATGGGCACAATCAGAAGTCAATACAAGCTAACCATTATTGTGTTTATGTTAGAAATTAAAAGATTTGATGCTGTCAGAGAATAGGGCTTGTGGAACAGCCTTGGCTAGTGGAGCAGTGCACACAAAGGCCCGACTGATTTAAAAATGATCCTTCACTAGTTTTTGAAAGGGATTAGATGATGTGACACCTCTGGTTGTCAGGGAACTAGAACCAGTCATCTGAGAGATTGTTTCTAACTGTGTGCAGAATAAGAGGGATTTGTGCAGAGCATCCCCTCTTGACTGGAAATCAAAAAGAGCATCATTAGATTCATCGTCTTCATCAGCCTTTTGGCTACAATTTGTGCATTGGTTAGTGCAAGACCACACCACATTAAGACAACACTTTCCCTGTCTTGTAAGGCTATGTACAGACCCATGCTTGCTTTTAATAGTGGTCAAAGAACAGAAATTGCTGGAATAGAGGGAAGCATCAGGAGATAGTCATGTTCATTTTTCTCTGCCGTCTCTGACAGTTGAACCTAAAGTAAGAGTGTAGGTAATAGCTTTGCCACTGAGGATTCTCAGAAGTGGGAAAAACTGTTCATAGTAAATTCACTGACTTTAATGTAGACACCTTAAGGAATGAATGTTAAGTGTCTGACAGCCTGGTCCCAATTAAATAATACATTTTAGAGCACTTTCAGGCATGTAACTATTCCTTATGGAATTGTGGAAGAGCTGCCACCAACTTTTCTATGAACAATGTACAACAGAGCTAACAGAAGAATTTGCACACTTTTACATTTGATTCAGTGCCCGGAGATATGAGAGGAAATGAGAAGCAGGTCTAATCTTTGTTTCTTTTCCTTGGCAATTTTAACTCGTGAAAATACTCTCTGTGCCCCCAAATGCAAGTCTTCCTCTGCTGATCTCACTTTCTTCTCTACAGTCTTTAAAAAAAACAATGTGGTATTACAATTGTCTTAGATTGAGGAGAAGTTGCTGTGCTAGCTAAAAGGTTGGCACCACACCTTCTATTCAGAATGCTGCACGTTGGTGGTGTCTCTTCAGATAACCTCTAGCTACAGTTGAGTAATATCACAAATGGGGAAAACCCTAGAGAAATAGGAAAATCCCTAACTGTTTGTGCATTGTGTAAGTATATTTTTGCTTAGGCTCTTCGCCAAAGCAGATATGAATCGACCATGCTCTCTCTCTGTATAGGAGTAAAATGTACTATCATGTTCAGGATCTTATTTTTGCAGAAGACACCCATGGCATTCATGAAAGGGGAAGAAAATTTCCATTATGGTTTTAGTGTGTTAAGTTTTTCTATTGCATTCATCACTGAAAATTCCTGAAAACAAAAGATATAAACAGTGGGAGAGGAACTTGGTTAATTTATTTCTTTGAGGCAAATGGTCTCCTTTGACTATTTTGAAAAATGATTATAAAAGAAAATACCACCCCCACTCCCCCTTGGTGTTGTACAATAAAAAGAAACACTTATTTAAAAAAGGAATTGAGCTGTGACCAAATACTTGCTGTAAGTGTTAGGTGTTTGTGCAAATGTTTGATTACTTATGTAAACCTGCCCAACAACAGCTCATCAGAACAAAACTGAGTGCCCAAGAATGACAAAACATATCCCTACCAGAACAAAAATCACTGATGAATATGTGTTTTTTTTTTCCATGGAGAAGATGAGAAAATAATGCAAGATGGTACTGGAAAGTACTCGGTAGGATTCATCTGAGCAACAGCGAAAACCAAGATTTAATTATGATAGACTAGAAGGTATAGGAGGATTTCTGCATTGTCCCACTGTCCCACAGAAGTGGGTGGGGTTTTTTATGTTTGTAATTTCAGATAATGTATTTATATAAGATTTGCATTTTTCAGATATCATAACAGAACAGAAAAAGGCTTAATCCTTTGAGTTTTGTGAGATTTTTGTTTACTTCAGTGAGATCTTGATTTTTTTCTTATATATTTTTGAACCATGATTATAACCAGAAAAAAAGGTTGGAGAAGTTAGTTTACAGATGATGTTCTAAGAAAATTTGGCTGGCAATTGGGAAATCTCTCAAGTAACCTAACCAAAATATATTCAGCAGTCTGATACTGAAGTAGTAGGCTTTGAAACAACTGTTAAAATTCCACTGGGGTTTTACATGAGCTGGCGCATTCCACTTTTATTGGTTTAGTGTTGCACAGAATTATTCAGAAAGCTATAGCCTTCTTTCTATTGATGAATGTGTATTGGGAGAATCAGCAAACTACCAGTGAAGCTTTTCTGGGTGGGGCCAAAAATGATTAATAAATGACAAATATTATTATGAACCCATTGCAGCAGAAATGAGGTCACATCAGTTAGATATTTCAATCCTTCAGTGGGATTTAAGGAATTTATGAAACCATTGAAACAGAAGTACCTCAGTTTTAGAACAGTTATGTAAAGAAGTTTGATTTCCTTTATAGAATCATAGAATCATAGAATGGTTTGGGTTGGAAGAGACCTTTAAAGGTCATCTAGCCCAACCCCCCTGCAGTGAGCAGAGGTATCTTCAACTAGACCAGGTTGCTCAGAGCCCCATCCAACCTGGCCTTGAATGTTTCTAGGGATGGGGCCTCCACTGCCTCTCTGGTCAATCTGTGCCAGTGCTTCACTACCCTCATCATAAAACATGTCTTCCTTATGTCCAATCTAAATCTGTCCTTTTTTAGTTCAAAACCATTACCCCTTGTCATATTGCAACAGGCCCTACTTCTTTGAGTGTTGATATAATATCGTGTAGAAGCAGCAAAAGTAATATCTTTAACAATGTCACAAGTAATTTTTATAATCTTCAGTCTATGAAAGTATATGACCAACTCTGTCTTATTATAAAAAGTGGTTTAAACTACTTTAAAATCCTTTTATGCATCTGAACTTTTATGAACTGGCAATGGTAAAAGATGACAACTACCTCTGGAAGTGATTATTAAAAACAGAAGTGCCAAAAGCACAAAGGAATGAGAACTAATACAGGTTAGATACTGGTCACTGGTTTTCTAAAGGCCTTCTTTAAAAACAAGCTTATCTAGCTAAAAACTTAAAAGCAGTGATGAAGGACAGAAAACACACTTCTTGGGTATTCTAGGCAGGTGCCACAGGGTAGCTAACATGCTGTCATTTCTCACCAGCAGCAATAATATGATTTTGCTCTACAGCTGTGCTTATGAGGAGGACAGAATTGCCTGTGGACAAAAGCCTCCTGGAAGACCAAGCAATAGTTATTTTATGATGTGCTAATGCTTACCCAGGCTGCAGCCTCTATGTTTGCCTAAAACTTGAAAACTTCCCAATGTCCAGTGAAAGACTTTTGTTGGCTCTAAAAACTCGCAGATTGTTGGCTTATTGACACAATCCTAAAATGTCTTAAAATGACTGAGAGCTGCCAGTCTGTTTGAGTGCAGGGGAGACAAGGTGGTGCCTGCACCTTTTGTGGTGTGACAGAAGTGCGTCTGTGAATGAGACAGTGATTTTAAGGAAAGCAGAGGGGAACATACATGCCATATACAAAGAAATACTGGTTTAAGTGCTGTGTCAGAAACATGAATGCCGGAACAGCAGAAAACAGTATTTGCTGGCTAAGTAACGGCCTTTCTTTAGAATGTCATGCATAGTATTCAAAATAAGATTTGTCATTTTCATACTCTACAGAATTTTAGTGTGTGGTTAAGTTTTATTTCACTGGGAAAATGGCTGTAGTCTGAAAGATAGCTGGACATTTGTTAAAATCTCAGTGTTGGGTTCACTTTGCCTCTTGCAAACTTTCCCACTTGAACATGGTAAGTACTGTGTCTGAGTAATTTCACTTTCAGGATTCTGAGCAAGGCAGTTCTCAGAAATAAAACAGCAAGTCTTGTTTCTAAAATTCATTTGCAATTACTGTAATACTTCTTCCATTGCCCTAGTGTGATCTTCTAAAAATTTGTGTAATATTCAGAAGTCTTCTATATACCTTCCATTAAAAAATCTCTTGGTTTCTTTGCCCTGGTATGAAGCAGTCAATTGTAAAAAAAATCAAGAAATAATCTGTTGGTCAGTGTGAATTGCAGTGCCTTGTAAAACGATGTCTATATTTGATGGAACTGTTGTAGTTGTTATAACCATTGCATCTCAGTAGAAATACATGAAAATGAAGATGATGCTGATCTTGTGTCCCCACGTATGAGACTGTCAAATGTAGTACTGATGTGCGTTTTTGCTGTATTTGAAAATCTTACTATCTTGAAAGTGATATCTGTTGTGGACTGTGAATATATTTACTTGTTTAAGGTATGTTTATATTTGTGTACAATGACTAAACAATATTTGTTTTTATCATTACCTCAGCTTTTACAATATTTTTGTTTCTGTTTGCAGGGGATTCATTGTAAAAGTAAACCTTCCAGTGAGTATACATCATTCACATTTTTACTACATTTGTTTTTGAATGATAAAGATGATTATTGCAGATAATAAATCCACTTTCCTGGTGACATCAGATCACTGTCATGACAGTGTATTTACCACCAGTTTCCTTGTACAAAATATTGGAAATTGGTAGGCTTTGATAAGTAATAGGTTAGTAATGACTGTGCATTGTTGCTTTATAGTTTTCCTTACCATAGATGGTCATTGGAAGAATTTGCTTAGTCATTTCACATGTTTTTATTGCTTCTATATATTATTATTGCCTACAGTAATGATACAGGCTCTTGAATTACCTGAACTCTGATCAATCACTCCTCCAGTGCACGCAGTCACTTGACAGGGTAGTACAAGGCAGCTGGCTTGCAGGCAGTCCCCTGTGAGAGGACAGTCCTCGCTGGAGGCCCAGCCCTGAGCACCACTTGTCCGCACAGTGCCTTTCCTGGATCCGTGTGGCAGAGTCCACAGACAGGGAGAAGCTGCAGCACTGAGCTGCAGGCATGTGAGATGCTGATGCTCTAGCATAGAGCGTGAGCTGGACGTCAGCTGTCATGGGTCTTACTCTGAATGCATGGCATTTATGGGACACATGTTGAGGTGGAGAGAAAGAACACAGCTGTGGAGGGGGTGCAGTTAAAAGTCCCACCTGAAAAAGTCTCTAGTCTCCCAGTGAGCAGAGCAAGCTGTTGGTGGTTTGTTCAAGGACTGTGAATGAATCTTTTTAAGATTAGGCTGCTGAGCTGCTAGTTACACAAACTATGTGGAAGGAGTCCTAGAAGAAGAGAGAAACAGGGGTGTTGACCTCTGCTCTGCCTAGCTGAACCATGCCTTCGTGCTGTTGGACAGCACAGGCTGAGGAAACCAAACTCTTCAACCCAGGTCTCAAAGGGAAGGACACATGCAATACTTTTGTTTATGAGTTAAAATCTGTGCTATTTGTATTACACAAATGCAGATCTAGATAGTGGAGGCTCACTACAGATACCACGAGGTGGTGATTCATTCCACCCATCTTAGGACAAGGTGAATTATGTGCTGGGAGGGAGGCAAGAGGGGTTCTCCCTCTCTGTTGACTGCCAAAGGTGCTTAGATGATGTACATGAGCTTAAACTAGATGTTTAGCTCTTAGCTGGATATAAACTTTAGGCACTGAACAGTTTGTAAACTGAAGATCCTTATCTTGCAAGATGATGTACATGAAGCAAAGCTGGTTGTAGGTTTTCATTGCTGCCTGAAAATGACTTATCAGCTATCTTTAACACAAGTAGCATGTAGAATGACTCAGCCTTATAGGGGTGATGAAAAATTTAGTCTTCATCCTAATTCACTTGTGCAACAGTGGGTGTATACTAATTTCCATACTTCCTTTTCTATAGTCATTGTTTTTATTATATATTATTTGAGATAAAATTACCTTAAAAGACCTTACCTGTATAATGGAGCACCTTTGCAGTAATCATTGCTTTTAGCTGCAACAAAAAGGTGACTTTATTTTCTAGAATTTGCAGCTACAAGCTTAGTAATATTTGGCAATGTAACTTTGACTCTGCCTTCTCCCTGCTGCTCTTCTAGACTATTGGTAGTCTGCTGTAGTATTTGAAATTCACTGTAATACAGCCAGACATTGATATCAATATACCATTGATTTTGAAAAAGCCTTACATCCTCAGAAAATGTATTTGGCACAGTATATCAACATGTTGTCCATTATCCTTGAAAGTTTGAAATACTTTCTGAATGTACAACTGTGAAACCCTTCTAATTTACTGTGCATTGAAATCTATTGTGAAGGAGAGGCTGTCAGTCTGAAATTTAATCAGTTTCATAATTGGTGTAAGTGCTTTTAAGCAGCAAATTTTGGTATTTATTAACTGAAGTGCACCATGTGGTTATCTTAGGAGAGCATATCTATCTAGTTTGTTTATGAAATTTGTTGAATCATCATAATGCACAGATGCAGCAGATACTGTGGTAATCATATGCAAATAGGTTTGAAATGCTACAGGTATTTATACTCATGGAATGATGCTCCAGTGAAGCAATTTTAGCGTGCTTTAGATATGCTCACAGATTTAGCACTGTCACTATCCTAAATTGTTCAAATTCTTACAATTCTTGTATGGGAGAAATAGGCAAAAAAAGGGTTAGGATTTTCTATTGGGTGTTGGCCTGGTCCTCTCATTAATGGAGTTTCTCTGCAATTTTTTTTGCTGTTCTCCAGTTTCACCTTCTTGCCTGAGGCTTCAAATTACCCATCTAGTCATTTCTATTGCATATTCATTGCTCAGTCCTGGCTTCTGTTATCCAAGTGTACATAAGGTGTGTTTTGCTGTCGTGACAGTTCTGGATTGATTTCTGCATCATCAGATAAAAAACTAATCTACTGTGGTTAAGCTGATGGCAAAAGTACAAGGAAAATGTCTACATGCTGCATAATAAGCCTTTGCTTCTTTATGCCTGGGCTTATATGTGTCCATAATTAAGGAATCTTTTATTACAGCAACAATCCTTCTCTCATGTAGGGCTAATTACAGTTATAATTCATAAACATAAAATTTAGGCAAGGTTTACTCAGCAGATGGTTTGTGTAGCAAGATGTATCTTTGTGTCTTCTGGGGTGTAGATCAAACTATTCATGAGAAAAGGGAAGAGGTGTGTGTTCCAGTGGAAACTGCCTTTAATCCCCCCCTAAACAGGGGGATTAAAAGATGATAAGTTAAGAGTTTACTGAAGAATTAGTCAGAAATGAGTCTCATACTATGATGATTTATAGAATGAAAATTATTTTCTGTCAGCTCTTCATTGTATCATACTTTTATTGTGATCTACAACTAATATCCTGATGCATTATATGATCCATTTAAATTACTATTAATGAGTTTCGCAGCTTCTTTTGCAATTCTCAAAAGGTATCATAAAATTAATGGAAAAAAATCCAGAATGGAAGAGTAATTTACTTTTATCCAGTGTGTTACTTACGTGTCCTCAGTTTGAAGGTAGAAACTGTGACCAAGGAAATCAGTGTCCCTGCTTATGGATAGACAGCAGTTCCTAAAACTGTGTTTGTGCATCTGCCTTATACTGATTCAGTCTCAGTAATGTACCTGGGTATGGCTTAGGATTCTCCTGAGATAGTTCCAGGCCTGTGACATCTGATAATACCACACCTCAGGCCGTAATAACTGAGGACTGAATTAAGTCATGACAATCTCTCCTAAAAATAAGTAGAGTCAAATAACATGGTCAAATTCACCCAAAGAGAATACTTTGTGAAGAACTGTCAGCTTTGACAATGTGTATATATATATATACACATTGCTCCTCCCTTCAATTGTTTCTAGACAGAGATGGGAATACGCAAGATTAGGCCTGGATCAAGAAATTTATACCAACAACCTAGGAATTAAGCAGAAACAATTAACCCTGAACACCATTTGGTATCCACAATTGCATGTCAAGAAAATATATTTTCAAGCAAAGAGACAGAGCTAAATCTAATAATCACTTATCTCATTATTAGTAACAATTATCAGGTAGTTCTGCAATTTAATAATCTCACAACTAACTGTGGATGGATTGATTGGGTGTTGTACAATAACTCTCCATCCTGAGATTCTTCAGGATTATTACACCACCCACCCATTCTTGGAACATGGAATATAGTGTTCACATCTGTACTTCGTAAAACTGCCTCACTTCTGTGGAAACATGTTTATGAATTCTTCAAAAGTCAATGTACTCCACTGCTTTTAAAGCCAAATTTTGTATTTTGAATGATCTGTGGTTTTCCTTTGGCTTGCACAAGTTGTCTTTGGTTGCCAATATTACCTTGGATAATTGTGATTTGACTCTACTGTCAGTTGAGGTAAATTTTCCTTCTTTTTCCATTCTTTTCCATCTAGTTCATATCAACATATTTTGTTGCCCCCAAAAGATGCTTAATGGCACAAACGCAGGATAATGGAGTGGAGATTCAGGTGTGTAGTGTTTGTCTTTTCTGACTTTTGATATTTATCATGCAGGACTTATTTCTCCTGATACCAAGCGTGAGGGCACCTTAAGGCCTGACAGATTCAAGGCAAGGTACCACATATATGTCAGCCTATCTTCATGTCCTGCATATATCAGTAGCTGATCCCTGACAGTGGGCTTCAGCTGCAACTGAAAGTGAAAGTGAGGATCTCATAATATAGGAAGAGTTCCTGTACAGGTTAATACACTTTCAGTCTTTACATTTAGAGCAGTTTCCTTCATTGGAGAGATAAGTAAGGATAAGCTTTGCCCTTCCTGCTTCTCCTCCACATCCTACATTTCCTCTGTGAGAAGAGTGGATGTGTTCTTCCAGCCCCTCCCCAGGGGGAGGAGAATGCACAGTAAAATACTTTGTTTTACTTCAGTGTCTTTTAACTTTCATGCTATGTACCAAAGTGAGAAAGGTAAGAAATATTTTGAAGAAATTGCTATGATCTAGTTACAGCTAAAATGAGGTGTGCTGCAAGGGACAAAGCCAAGGGACAAGACGCGATTCCTTGGTTATTTGTTCTGACAGTCTCTTGAACTCTTTAATTTCTGGGACTACAAACAATCCATATGAGGTAGAGAAGTCCAAGGAATGCATTGGGGATTAAATCCACTGTACTTCCATAAATTCATAAATAAAGAACTGATTTCTATGCAAGGCAGTCTAAGAAGTAGAAAGAGATGAAATATGGCTAACTGATGAGATTTGGGGCCTTAAACTTTTTACTTTTACAGTAGTCTACGGGCAGCTGCTGTGCAAACCTGTGTCTAAGGCTTTGGGATGACTAAATTTGCATAGGAAAATAAGATGAGACACAGCAGTTGTGTTTTGTACCTACAGTTTACCCTTTGAAGAAGGCCTGGGTAATATTTATTCTGCTCTTGCCATTCTGGTCTAAAGGAGAAGGAAATCCTGTAGGTGTGAGGGATTTTTTCGTAACTAGGAATGCAATGGTGCCCTCTTGTGTGAAAATGGTATTTTAACAGCAGTTCAGACCATCAGCCAAACTAAAATACTACCTGTGAAAGTGCTCACAATATACAGGTAATGGTTCTGACAAAAAGTTTAAATAAACTATTAGTCTAGCCATGATCTAGCAGCTCTGATTATTTAAAAACGTTAGTTTAGGTGTGCTCTGCTAGCCTCAACTGTTAGAAGTGTGGTTCCTTCCTCTTGTGGGTTAACACTTCCCTAAGCCAGGAAATTTATTATCAAACCCCATCTGTAGTGTAATTTTTTCCACACCCCCTGCATTGCTAGTGAAGCCAACTGGCCATGTTGGTCACGTGGAAGTCTTAAGTACTGGCTTTGCTGAAGTCAATGATGACTTTCCTTCTGATTTCAGTAGAGCTGGAGCTTCACCTTTGGCACTTTCTAACCCTCAAATACACTGTGCACAGTGAGATTTCTCTACCTTTGTATTTGTATTTGCAGGTGACATTTTTAACAGCTTCTGCCATAATGCTCCTGCATCTTTATCTTCTACGGTACTGAAAAGCATGAAGATCTCAACAGTGATGAAATGTGCCCAAGGAAGCCCATGCTCTCTTCATTTAAACATTAAAGGAACTCTGAGTCTGGATGGTAGGAAGCAGATCTGCTACTGAATCATTTCTGTTTACTTTTTGTTTATAGCTATTCAGCCAAATTTTGTTCCATCTTGCGGTATTTGTGTCCAAGCTGTCTTCATGTAATTGTATCAGAAAGAGTTTTTTGTGAAACTTTTTGTGAAATTTTACTACAAACCAGGATAAAGCCCTGGCACTTCTCAAGGGAATGAGAACTGAGATAATGAATTCAAGACAAGTGAATTTTTACTTCCAACATAATACACTTGTCCTCTACTGGTGCCCCAAGTGTACTGCTGCCCTTTTCTTTCTTGCTCTGACACGCATGCATGCACACACACACACAATAATTCTCTCTGCCCTGGTAACTCAGACATAAGCAACTGCCCCAACAGAAGGAGAAACAGTTTTCGTGTCTGAAGTTACAATTCTGCACCAAAATAAAATGAAATCACTTGAAATTTTGGGCATAGTCTATTTTCACAAACACCCTGCCATTCATGTGCTTAGTGTGTTACCATCTAGATATTTCCTGGTGTGCTTTACTCAGAGTTAATAGGTTTATTTTTTAAATTTCTATAAGAATTTGCATAATTAAAGCTTTAATTTATAGCAATCTGTATTAAATCCTTGCTCCTATCCCTATGTGCGTCTTACATATAAAGCCCCTTTTTTTGACAGTGATAAAATACATGTGCCTTTCCCTTGGAGGAAAGCTTACGATACGGTATATTTTAATTTGTTTTTTGTTTTTCTTAAAGATGCTTGAATTATATTTTTGAAATCTATTCCTAACTTGTTTCAGAAAATATCCGTGGGCTGGAAATATGTTCTCTTTCACTGGACACACAGCAATCTCAGTGCACAAATGTGAGATTTGCTAGGAAAAAAAGCAAGATGCTTAATGGAAAGAAGGTAAACTCCTTTTTTGGGGTTGTTTTTCATTTAAATGTTTATAAGCCTTTAGAAAACAATTATATTTTGTATGTATCTCGCTTATTTTCTTCTCTTGTTGACTTTGTGGAAAACTGCAATGAAATGTATGCTTCAGCATTGTCAAATGAAACTCCATAACAAAATGTCCTTTCATAACATGTAAATTCAGTTCTCCACTATTTTCGTACTTCTTCCACTTACCTTTTCTACAAGAGGAGCTGCCTCTGCAAAGCCTAATTTTCATTTCTTTTTGTGCCCACCACATTATGGGGAAGATTTTGTAACTCCAGTTTCTAGGAAGCACAATGCCACAGAGATTTTAACTGCATACATATGATTTATTAAAGTCCAACCAAGCCAATGGAATTTACACATTTAGAAGACAGCCAAGTGCCTAAGCAGTTGTGCACATCTGTCCTAAATGCATGGTAATAATTGCAACAGCAGAGTACAATTTTTTATTAAACTAAACTCATAAGTATTTGTTATTAAAATTTGCAACTGGAAAAAGAAAAAAAGAGCCATCCTTGACCAGCTGTCTAAAAGAGATGAATTTTTGCTTTCAGTTGCTGGTGGACAACTGTTATTAATACCATACAAAATGTGTTACTTCACGTGCTTTGTAAATGTTATATGGATTGCACATGTGAAACAAAATTCTTCTCCCAAACTGCAATTGCAATTTACGCTCTGTATCACTTGGTGAATCAAACGTTCCTGTAGGGAATGCAAGGCCAGCAATGAACAATTAGTAGCTTTTAGAGTAAGTTTATAGGCAAGACTCAACAAACATATTTAATGAAATTTTCTTAGTTTCACTTGAGTGACTAGAATGGTGTCATAAGATGTCTTTTACCCACCGAATGCCTTGTACCAAACTGGAGTATATCCAACATGAATACCTATATGGAATTTAATAGTTACTGCTATCAGTGAGGGAATCACCTGCTATAACTGGACCTCAACTTTTGTCTCCTGCTTTCTCTCTCACAGACTGTTACTGGAATGAATAAATTTGCTGAAGTTGCCATTAAATGTTTAAAGAGATATTTCTTCCTATTCTGCAAGTGTTTGTGCTTGCAAAATGCATACAAAGTGGCACTTCTGGTAGTATGAAACAGCTTCTTGCTTTTGAAGTTCAATAAGCATTGTGTACCTGTATTTCTATGCTTTTAGCATTATTTGATAGCTTGTAGATATTTGGATTTCAGGAAGTGAAGAAGATAGCAACATCCTGGATTAGAAGTCATGATACTCTTTGAAATCCTTTCATTAAGTGGTATCTGCTTTACATTCTTAATGCTACAATATCTGAGACTGCTTAATGCTCCTTGTATAAATATAAATAAATCTAAACAAAGAATATTGCTTGCTTAACTTGGATAACCAGTGGTTTTCATGTATTCTGGAAGTCATGCACAAACTTGATTTTATAAATGTTTTAAACAGGTACAGATACAATTCAACTGCATTGAAGTTAATGTAGCACAACACATCTATGTGACCATGAAAACAGTACCAAATTACTGCAAAGTCAAGCTGAGTCAGGAATACTACGTTGAAGGTAGGAAAACATCACAAACCAGATGCTTTTCAAGAAATGTCTTTTCAAAAAAAAAAACAAAACCCAACCCAAACCAAAAAAACTCCAAATGCAAAGCCAAATCACGTTCTGGGATACACTGATCTAACTGATGGAAGATCAGGTATGCCAGCACCAGTCTTATTCCACATTTTGATGATTTATTATGTCCATATAAATGCTTGACTTGCTACAAACAACAGAGACCAGAGTTTGTATCTAAAAGTACATGGAAAACTGAACTACACTATGCATTTGTCCTAACTGGCCTCCTCGTGATTGGCGTCTGCTCTTTCTCTGCCTGCAGGTTCAATCCTGTGTGCTCTCTGTGCATAAGATGGACCCTCTTCTTCTCTTCATAGTTAGGGCACAGGTGGTTTCAGAGGTAGAGGAAAGCTTAATAAGAAATTGTAAAGAAATTTCTTTTTACTTGCATTAGCTAGCTGTTCTATCGCCTGTTTTCATCCTGTAACTAGGTAAGATGAGGTGGCATTTTTCCATGGTTTTGGGGTAAAGTGCCTACCACATGCATATAAAAATAGACTCAGCACTGTGGTCCAGACAGAAGGCAGCGTGGCTAGTGGAGACAAATGCACCAAATAGTGGTGCAAAAAGTAAAATGAGACCCCTTATTTGGTCCGGTGCCCAGGCTTATCCTGCCTTCCCATCTCCAGAGTCTGTGGGTGGGCGGCTCTTGCCCTTGCCCCTTGGTACAGTATCATTCCTTCCATGCAGTATGAGACATGTGGCTGTTTCACGCTTTCATAGAACTAAAGACTTTTTGTATTTAAAAAGCCTTTCATTTTCTTGATAAGTCCTGATTCACTATTGAAGTAGATGTGTAGTTGTTCCATGAAGGGGGGTGGAATGAGGTTTTATAAAGCCCAGTTTTAAGACACTTTACTGGGGTGCATAAATGAATGAAAACAGGAAATACTTCTCTGGGGAAAAGAACTGTGTTGGGAAATGAGAGCAAAGTGTTACTCTAATACCCAGTTAAGCAAGGAGAGGAGGCAGAACATTATGATCTGATTTAGTGTTCTTGATTCAAGATTTAAGTTTTGGAGACACAAATGTTAGATACTGGTTCTGAAAGTGTCGTCTGGCCTCTAATTCTGGTAAGCTCCCTGTGAGCTAAATAGGGTGTTTCTTTGTAAGCCTAGAGTAGAGTCAGAATAGCAAAAACACACAGTGGTTTACAACAGAGGAATAAGCCTGGTAAACAACAGGAGTAGCTTTCAAGGAAAGAATAAAATAGATTATAATTTTTATTATTATTATTACTTAAATTATTTTTAGGTGCTAGGTAAAGAAGTGCAGTGTTACATCCTAGATTGCCACCTTAAACAGCTGATGAGGTTTTACAATAGAAATTCCACACTGGTGAGATAGCTCTTTAAGCCAAGATGTGATATAATCTGTGTGTGTGGTAAAGGTACTTTTCTTTTTTGCTGTTTGTCTAGAAGTGGATGTAAATCTGCCTTTAAAAAGGGGTAGAAGAGATAGGTTTCCTGTTAGGAAGCTATTGGATAATTCTGCAGTTTATTTACAGTTATATAACTAAAACAACACTGAAGAATACTTTGGCTTCTGTTTTGCAGATTGCAGAAACAGTGATGTGGGAAAATATATTCCAGCTTGTTCGGGTGAGCTGATTGTCTATATAACTTAAAGCTGTGAGATATTTCTGGTGACCTATACAATGATATATATTCATAGCTGAATAAGCAGGGAAAAAAATGATGATTTACAGCTACCACTACTTGTAATTACCATGTAGTTAACAGGTAATGTCCTGGAAAATGTGTTTCTTTGTATTGACTTGGAAATGCTATATAGCGGATAAAGTTATTGACAACCTATTTAATACTTAAACTTTTGGAAATAGGTTTATGTGCTTTTCATGCACTTCGGATTGCTGGTTTTATATTTTGTCTATAGGCAGACTTCATAAATAGGTTGAAATTATTTTGCCAAACTGCTATCCTGATATAGGTGTACGCATAAATATAAAAAAAAACACGTTACCCCACGCATTGTATTTGTCTAACATAGTTGCACACATTCTCTGTGTAATGAAATTTCAACCTTGGGATAATCAGCTTTTGTAGTAGTACTAGTGTGTATATTTCAAGTACTTGTACGTGGATGACATAGGATTTGAAGTATTAAGGTTGAGGGTAGGTGTCTTGGCATCTCAGTATTGCCAGTGCTAATTTAAAACTAAATAATACTGAAATTTATTCTCATGAAAATTATTATATCTCATAAAAGAAGAATAACTTTAGGAATATCAGAATATAAAAAGAATTAATTCGAACATCGTAGGTAAAAATCTGTAGGTGTTGGATTTCGTCTCCATCAAGTTGTGAATTGCATTCTCTACCTTTTATAAAGAATTAACAAAATCAGAATTAATAAAGTAATAAATAAACAGATATGATAATTTCATGCTTGAATTTTCTTTTTCAGCCGGCAAGTTTGATTATAATATAGACAGGGCGAGGAAAATTATATCAGTGAATGTTTCCAACTTTCTTGGAGATCAAAATTATTACGTTCGCCTGTGCCACAAATGGTTTACCTGTGAAGATGTAGGGGCATTTGCTGTGGTGAGTTAAAGCTCAAAGCAGTTTGTTGAACCGGTGGGGGGTGACTTGTAGGTGAAAATGCTCATTGAGGTCGTAGTTATAGGAAATGTCCTTCTATATCTTTATTTAACTTTATTAAATGTCATTTACTGTTCTGGATTCGTGACCATCTTTTTCATTTCAGATAAAAGGGAAGGAATCTTTAAAGTCAGTTTCACTGAAATATTCTCAGCTACTCCCTTGTCTATGCATTGAGGTAACACAGTCTGGAATTTGGTATATAGTTGTGTTTCTGATTAAAGAAATTTTATCTGGGATTCGTGCTAAGAAAGGAGGAAAAATTTGTAGAAAAAAGCTCTAGGCCCCAGTTTTTCACTAAGGCGTGTCTGACCTTATGATTATGTAAATGTAGAAGAGATTTTTTAGGAAACACTAATTAAAACATGGAGATAAGAAGAAAATGGGATACAATTTACATTAATTTTGGGGAAGTATTGTGTAATATTAATTTGACTGATTTTTTATAAACAATGAAAAGACAGAAAATTTAATCTCACTTAATTTCAGCATAGCATTTGATATAGTCATAAGAAACTAAAAGAGGAATTGAGGAAGCTGGGGGTGAGAACAAGATTTGTACAGTAGATAATACCTAGCTGGAGGTCTAACTCTACTCCTGTTGAATGGGGCTGTGCTAGTAGGAAGGTTATTTAAGGACCGCACTTAGAAATGTTCTTATGTAAATGTTTTCATCAATGACATGGGCACAGAAGGTGGGAACGTATTAATGAGATTTGCTGATAATACAGTTGAGAGACGTAATCAAAATGGAAGAAGGTCAGGATAGTTAGAAGAGATTATGGATCTTCATACGGGAAATAACTAGAGGAGGATGAATGAAGTGAGCTAGCTTCTCAGTGAATTTTGGGGTATGATTTACCTTGCAGATTAAGGTACCTAAATGTAGATGTCCAGATGTAGATATCTACATTTGAATTAGACGTCCAAAGTCTTATAGTCAATGGAGATCTAGTTAATGCAATCAGTTACTTAACTGACCAAATGTAGATGGCTATTTTGGGATGTGCTGGATAGCACTGCAGACTCCACTGGCTGCATTGGCTAGATCTTCATATGGCTACTGTAATAGTCATTTGGGCACTTTAGTCACACTCAGATGCGTACGTTATAGGCACCTAAAATCACATATCTTAATATGCAAGTTAAACCCCAAAGTCTCTTCCAAGCCTAGGGATTTTTTTTTTATTCTACTCTAAAATATTATTTCTCTCAGCATATACACAGAGAATTCCACAATATGATTGTTAAGCAGACAAACAGGAACTGTAATAGAAACATTTGCACATGAATCTATATAATTAGACTACAGTAACAACCATGCACATATACTTGCAGATTGCGTTGTTAGTCCTCAGATTTTAAGGATACATCCTTTACCATAACAAATGCCAGGAGATCTGATATAATGATTCTTGAATGTCTTTTGATACCCTTAGAAAGTAATGACACTGTAAGAAACTTAAAGAAAATAAAACTGGAAGACTTTCTAAATGAAATGGGGCTAAATATATGACTCAGAAATAGTAGGAATATAGTGCTAGAAGGGGTCACCATAGTTCATCAGCTCCAGTTCCCCTAATGATGAACAATAAAACAGGTATCTAGTGCAAAATATCCTTTTAAAAAACTACTTCTAAAGCTTTCTGATAAGCGTAGCATCTTTAACTTTGGTGGGAACGTTTTCTGTCACATTCTGTCTGAACTGTTAAAAACTGGTGTATCTGAGAATTTCTAGCTAATAGCCACTTTTTGGGTTGTAGGGTTGGCTGACAATTCCAGATGCAAGAAGGATACAACTTTGCCCCTTTGAAAATGGCAAGTATTGTGTGATTGCTCTTTATATGAGTGATTTTCTGCAGCTCAAGTAGTATGGCACAATCTGAAATTCAAGTGAGGTGAAAACCATGCATTGCAAAACTTCAAGGAAATTGTCATACTGGTTTGTTATACTATGGGTAGACAAAATAACTTACTTTCAGAACAAATTGTTCACAAAGTTTATGCCAACATAAACACTAAGTAACTTTCTAGTCATTTCCCACATTTTCTTAAGTCACACACAAACTGGCCAGAAGGCAGAAAAGCCACTGAGGTCAGCTTTGAAATGCTGATGTGAGAAGAGGGCTTCAAGCAGAGGTCTGAAGAAGGTGTCCAACACCCAACTTAAGCGAGGGAACAGGGAGCTGAAATAGAAGACAGTTAACTGCATATGGGAGTTCCCATACTTAATAGGAAGTTATTCACACAAAGTGTTCCAGCAAAGTCAGACTGAGATGAGAGCTGAAAAAGAAATTGTCATATTATATAGGTCTTTAGTGAAAGTTTTACCAGGCAGATAGAAAAAAGCATAGCCTGAAAGTGTTTAATTGTGTTAAGTCCAACAAAAGTCCAACAATATTTTTTCCCCAGACTATGCTAAGAACGGAGTTTAGTATTTGATTTAAAAAAAAGCATGAGAGAGAATAAAAACACCAACCCATAACAGCGCATCCAAACTCCATTAAACTTCATAGACATTCACTGCAATCCTTTTACATTCTCATAGGGCTGATGCATTTGTGTTAAAATGGAAGCAATTTCCTCTTTAGTTAGACTGGTCTTCATTTCTGATTTATTTTATTGTGACAGAATATAGTGTTTGTGATACGACTGTTCCTTTGTAGCAATGGAGTGCAGTTTGACTAAATAAAAAATGGATTTTTTGTTATTCTCTATTTGTGCAGTAAGCACTTATAGGAGTGCCCAAGCTCTGTCTGTAGCTATGCCTATGTCATGTAGTCAGATCTGGCTTCGAGGTCATCAAAGCAAGGCCTGTTGGCCATCTGCAGTGTAAAGTCCTAACCTCTATTCTTAGTAGCTATTCAGCCTGAAGCTGGGTCTCATGTGGCACAGATTGTTTTCTTCCAGATTTTCTCCTATCTCTATGTATTTCCTGAGTGTGGAACTGTTGTGCTTTGCAAGTGCAGGAAATTGGGCTTCTGAATCCCATTATTCCTTCTTTTCTGCTGTACTCTGCTGCTTTTCCTTCCCCTCCTACTGCAGTCAATCTCCTCTCTGAAGCCGTTGAATGAGGACTATGGGGATAGCTGAAGCATAGGTTACAAAGCTTTCTGCAGTCAGAGGAAAGACAGTATGTGCTTTGGCACACTGAAGCTCTTGAAGATTGTTTCTGTCCATTTAGGAAGTTCCAATGGACAATTACAATTGAAAACATAACTTATAGCTTTGATAAGGAAGTGAGTACAGGAAATACTGTTTTACAACTATAGTTTTCATTTACTCAACTGTCCTCCTTGCAGGAATCTCAAACAATTTTTCAGAGTCTAGCACCCAGCTACTTACGTATATAAGGAGCTCCAGCTTTTGAGCCAAATTGTTTTCTTTTTAAATCTTTCTTTTTTCCTACCTGACAGCTCTGTTTGCTGGAATATCCAAAGTAAATTGGCTCTTTTTTTAGCTCTTTTATCATTGATACAATAAAGTTGGGATTATAGAGTTAGTTCTGTGGTAGGAGGCAATTAACAGTTGTGTATCAGAAAGAAGCTCCTCTATGTATAAACTCTTTTGGGTTAGTGTAAATAAGAGAAAAAAGTGGAAAAAAGAATGTCTATTGGTTACTAAGCAATGTAATTATATGAGACTGAAGATGAATAAGCATCTTCTGTGATGTAAATAAGTAGATGCCACAAAAGACTAAAACAGAAGGAAACTCAGGCAAAAAGTCAATGAGCAGGCCTGGAAACAAACCTAAGAAATCTTAATTGTGGTGCTATTGTCTTAGCTATTAGGATTACACTTACATTGTATCTACAGACTCGTATAACATTCAAAGTGTAGCTTTGAAAACTGTTAGCACTGTTGGGACCCAGGACTTTGCAGTCAGTTTGAATATTCTCTAAACATTAGCTTTATAGTACATGTCCATTTATTACAAACAGCATTTTTTAAGAAGAACCAAAATATCCAGCAGATTTATTAAAACAATAAAAATTTCCACTTCATAGAAAGTTTCAGTATTTGGATATATATGCATTAGGACACAAAGTTATGACAGCAAGAGGCTTGGCAGAATTAAAGGGTTTGGAAGATTTCTATTAGAAAATAGCAAAAGGTTTTATTTCAGGACATTTCTGAGGGAAACAATATTAACAGTAATTGTTGTTATGCTTGATGGAAATTGAATTTGGACACCTGGTGTTTCCGCTCTTTGATGTAGACTGTGCTTCTTCACTTTACCACATTTTCTAGTCATGGGTGTTGTTTGTTCACTCCTCTTGAACATCCAGCTGGCTATGTTTTCAAGTTTTTGCTTCACAAATGGTTTCAGAATTATATTTTTCTCCTACTTCTGACTATTAGACAAATGTAAAACTTTCCACATTACTTCTTGAAATTCATGCTGGAAATTCTCTCCTCCACATGCAGCTAAATGGAAAGCAAGTCAGTATGAAGTGACTAATTTGACCAATCAAATAAATAAGACAGATTTTATTTTATAATAGTGCCTATTTAAAATATCGCCAAATATATGCTGACTAGCTCTGAAGTTATGGTGTGCTCAGTATACATAGAAAGAAGATTTGTGTAAATGCTGTAGATGATAGATTATTTATTGTGAATTACTTGCACAGCTTTGTTTACTATTGGAGTTCTTGATATCCTCTTATCCTCTTACCTACATATTGTACGCATGTAAGTCCTACACAAGACACACAGAATCTAAGTCTCCAGTACCATGACCTCTAGTCGCTAACGTATGGATTCATTCCAATTTACCATACACACTTAACTGAAGGTCCTTGGTTAGGAGTTTACTTGCATTACCCTCCCCCTGTGACTGATGGCACAGAATGCACTTCTAGGAGCTTGTGGAGCCTACTTAAGCGCCGAGGTGTCGTTCCCTGGTGATGCCTATCTATCACCATTGTGGGAGGCTGGTAAGACTAAGCTCTCAGGTTGAACACCTCTGGTAAATGCCAATACTGTGGTGGGATGAATTTAAGTTTTACACTGTTACAGTGTGAAATACTGCAGCTCTGATTGGTGAAAATGACAAGGAAATGGAAAAGCAATGCTTTTGATTTTAAGCACATATATTGGTACCAGATTTATGAACAATCTTGATTAATTTTTAGGCATCTTGAATAATGTTTCAACTCTTTGTGCACAGATACGAAGGTGCTATGGGATAATATTGTTTATAACCCAGCGACACAAACCCTAGCTTGGGAGCCGGCCTGTCCTGTGCTTGTCATGGTTAACCTATGCAGGTTAATGAAGTCTAACGACCACTGTGAAGATATACAAAACTCTTCCAAAAATTCTTCTGAAAAAGTAAGAGCTATGCAGATTTATTCAAACTGTGAAATGGAAGGCCATGACCAAAGGTGTAATGTGAAGACCTAGACTCTGGAATAAGAGCAGCTGCAAATTACTCTCCTCTGATACTTAAAATTATTCATAATCATTGTCTGTTCTTGTACACTAACCACATGATTTATTCAGAGAGCTCACTGACTCACTATTAAGAAATAAAAAGTGGAGATGACTGTGAAGATAGTAATGTTTGCTAAATTCTTTGGGGTAGATAGGGTCTGCTTTTCATTTATAGTCAAGGTATGATTCATCTGCCCTGACTTTGCTGTCTGAAAGATAGGTGTTCAAGTCTATGCTATTCATGTCAGACTCCCTTTAAAGTAAGTGGAACAGACATATTGAAAGGACAACTCTTCTCATCTGAAGGTAGGCATACAAGAAAGGTTGGAGGGATTTCTCTCTGAAGGTACCTCTTTATTTTCACTGGCTATCACAAGAGTCTGTTGTGATTAGATCAGATTTGGATATTTAACATTTAGACACCTAAAATGTAAGTGAGGTGAAGCTAAATCGCTTTAAAAGTTAGTGGAGACGTAACGGTTCTTTGGTAGGGCACACTCGTTTTATACTCTTATTAAGATCTCTTTGAAGTGCCTTCCTCACCCTGGTCCAATGTCTTGAAATTGTGGCTGTTGAAATATTGGGTTCCTCGGTTCTTCCACCCCACCACTTATGTTCTAAACTTGAAAAGAGTTTTCACTGCATGTACGTTGAACTGCTTAATACTTCAATCTGAAGTGTCATGATGCTGAATGCAATGGAATTCTGGCTTTCATCTTGAAAAGTAGGTTTCAGGCTTTCCTGACTCTGGAGAGAAGCCAGTAAACTTGAGGTAACAACTGAAAAGACAAATAAAATCAGACACAAATTCTTAATTTTTTTAAACTTTGTGAGTAATATTCTGATGACATGATTTGGGGGGGAGGGCCTGACTCAAGACTGTTAAATGTTTTTTTGATTAGGAACACCTGTCCAAGTGTTTAGTGATTGTTCAGATTCACCATTTTATGGGTTTCAGCAAAGCTTAGATCTTGCAAAACCAAGTATATTTGATTTTATACATGTGAGTGGTCCCTGTGGGATTAATCATCTGCTGACAAGAAGCACAATCCATTGCTTGCAGGAAAGAGAAAACAAAAAAGAGGTTTGGCGCGTAATTGTCACATCTATTACCCAGAACACACTCCAAGATTAGTTTATTACAGACAATGAATGTTTTCCTATATTGATTAATATACATGAACATGATGAATTTTCCCTTTTTTTATATTTCATCCTAAAAGGTTTGATATAGAATTTGGTCCATTTCATGTACTATAACCCTGAAGAACATCTCTGTAGTGTGCTGGAGACTACTGCAGAGATTCCTCACATAGTGCCAGCCCCCTCAGTAAATCCACACAATGCCGCCCGCTCTAATACCATGCACATGTACCGACTTGGGCCCAAAAGCTACATAACTCTTCTCTCTAATTAGGGTGGGGCTTTCACTGTCGATGGCAATGTTGTCTCCACATCTGAGTAGACTCTTACAGAACTATCTTCTGTGACCCTATTGGAGACATACTTGAGGACATCCATTATGTTCATAGAATCATAGGGTCATTAAGGTTGGAAAAGACCTCTAAGATCATCAAGTTCAACTGTTAACCCAACATCACCATGCCTGCTAAACCATGTCCTGAAGTGCCATATCCACACATTTTTTGAACACCTCCAGGGATGATGGCTCCACCACATCCCTGGACAGCTGTTCCATCATCTGACCACTCTTTCATTGAAGAAATTTTTCCTAATATCCACTCTAAACCTCCCCTGATGCAACTGGAGGCCATTTTCTCTTGTCCTATTGCTAGTTACTTGGGAGAAGAGACCAACACCTGCCTCACTACAACTGCCTTTCAGGTAGTTGCAGAGAGCAATAAGGTCTCCCCTCAGCCTCCTCTTCTCCAGACTAAACAACCCCAGTTCCCTCAGCTGCTCCTCATAACACTTGTTCTCCAGGCCCTTCACCAGCCTCATTGCTCTTCTCTGGACACTCTCCAGCACCTCAATGTCCTTCTTGTAGTGAGGGGCCCAAAACTGAACACAGCATTTGAATACAGGAGCACGATCACTGCCCTACTCCTGCTGGCCACACTATTTCTGATACAAGCCAGGATACTGTTGGCCTTCTTGGTCACCTGGGCACACTGCTGGCTCATGTTCAGCCGGCTGTCAAACAACACCCCCAGGTCCTTTTCTGCCGGGCAGCTTTCCAGCCACTCTTCCCCAAGCCTGTAGCGTTGCATGGGGTTGTTGTGACCCAAGTGCAGGACCCGGCACTTGGCCTTGTTGAAACTCGTACAATTGACCTTGGCCCATCGATCCAGCCTGTCCAGATCCCTCTGCAGAGCCTTCCTACCCTCAAGCAGTTCAGCACTCCCACCCAACTTGGTGTCATCTGCAAACTTACTGAGGGAGCACTCAATCCCCTCCTCCAGATCATTGATAAAGATGTTAAACAAGTCTAGCCCCAAAACTGAGCCCTGGGGAACACCACTTGTGACCGGCTGCCAACTGGCTTTATCTCCATTCACCACTATTCTCTGGGCTTGGCCATTCAGCCAGTTTTTTACCCAGCAAAGTGTACACCCATCCAAACCATGAGCAGCTAGTTTCTCCAGGAGGACGCTGTGGGGAACAGTGTCAAAGGCCTTATTAAAGTCCAGATAGATGACATCCATAGCCTTTCCCTCATTGACTAGGTGGGTCACCTGGTCAAAAATGTTACAGGAAAGAGGTGTTACTTTGGTCACGATGCCATGTGTTTTGTGTAGGGTCTGTTGTGCTCAGTCACTTGAGCAATGGTGTTTATTTAAGTAAGATCACTTATGTGGGTAGTAATTGATTAGATGAGACAAGGCTTTTTATGGTGAAGCCCTTGGTGGGTGAACAATTGTTAAATCAAGAAAGCAACTTTTTGTAGGTCATTCAGTCTACATTTTAGTCTTTTCTGGAATGGGGACGTGGAAAACTGAAAAATTTCTGAACCAAAGGTGGAACAACACTTTTGGGTGCATATTTAAATGTTCTGCTGAGTTGTTGATGAATGGTAAATAAGGGGCTGAAACAAGGCGACTGTGTAATCAGAGTTTTGCACACAAGCCACCACAGAATCAATTAATTTAGCTCTAATGGGTCAGACTGACTAAAAAAAATGCTACATGTTACAGATAAAAAGAAGCAAATTATTCAGTAATCCAAATTACCAGTTGTTTCTATTCTTCTTATTTTATGTGATTAATTTTGTGGGATTCTTATAAAGTAAACAAACTAGTTCCTTTCTCAGTAATCAAACCATGAAAATTTTGGGTAATTGACTTTGTGAAACTAGTTGATGAAACCAGCTAATGCTGAGTGCTCTCTTTTCAAGCAGGTTAAATATTCTCGTGTGGACACTCACCCGAGACTTTGCATGAAGGTAAAGGGATTTCTTTGTAAAACACCCATTGACCGCCCTCTTTCTGTCAGCTCTAAAAAAATGAGTTGCTAATGTTCTTTAGGATGAATATTTTTGATTCATAATGAATTTAATTCATAATGAATGGGAAGTAAGAATGAAGTAGATGTGAAAGGCTGGATTAAAAGGAGGTTCTTTGGAAGTGCGGCAGCAATGATAGATAGGAGACAGGTCAGATTGTGCCCTCTGTTTTCTCTGCTTAAGAAAAGCAGGGAAAAATGTTTTATGTCAATGTAAACTCTGAAACATACACTAAACTTAACTTATAAAGTTTTCCATATTAAATATTTGATAATAAAAATGATGATGCACTACATTTACTGGAGTACCTTTTATTATTCTAGTTGAGAAAAAAATGCCATGTAAGGTTAATATAGGCATATTATTGTTTTCTTTTAGATTACTTTTAAGTCAGTGGAACTACATGTTTCTGTAAAATAAGCATGTGTACAAATACCTGAAGAATTGGGGGACCTAATTTAAATCAAGTGTTGGAAGATACCATAGAGCAGGAAAGCTGTGAATTCAGCTTCTGCAACTTTCTGGAATGCACTGATCATCTCTAGTTGAATCTGTAGCCACAGACTGGAACTGAAAATTCAGTTTTCCTAACAGATTTCTCTGCTTTCAGTTTACAACCAAGCAAGGCTCTTGGGTCAAATGTCCATTTGCTCATGGAGAATTTCCAGGTAAATATATTTTTTTAATTACATAGTATTAAATTGTGAAAAATATTTAAATCAGTCACTAGATATGAGCCTTCCTCAGTAAGCAAGTGTGATGTGTTCACATCACTGTAGCTTGTAAACTATGGCAAAGTGATTTGACAGATTGTTACTTCTGTGTGTCCCCAGTAGATCAAGTGTTAATCAGTATAAAAAGTGACTTGTGGGAATCAAAATAATTACTTGCATATCATTTGGTGGCACTTAACTAATTAAAAAGGCTTTTATTTTAGATATAACAATTTAGAATATAATATGTGGTCCTTGTACATCTAAAAGTAAGTTTTTTCCCTAATATCAGCTTGGAAAATGAGAACTGCTGCAGTTGCACAACAAATAGAAGTTTTCTTCACATCCCAAACCAAGGCACAATTCTCAGTTCTTGTGTGTAACAGGACGCAGCTGGCCTCATGTGAATCCATTGGGATGCACCATTCAGTCTCTGTGGTTTGTATATATTATTTCTTAAACATTGTAAGACTTTTAAACATACCTAAATGAATTCATTTATTATTCTGTTTCTCACTCTGCATCTTGAAAACATTAATAAACCCATGCATGTGCATACTGGAACAATTACTGGAGCATTTTTAAAACATGTAGTTCTAATTCTGATCTCACACTGAAGCAAGAAATAAATAAAGATCCTGAAGTCAAATGAGTCACATCAAAGGAAGTGACTATTGAGTGAAACCTTAATATTCTTTTAACGTAATTTTTGTGGTGTAGTATTTCTATTATGTATATAGCAAATGTTAATGTTAGTATTTCATATATGGGTCACCGATACAGCTGACCTGGCAAAACTCATGTCATGAAATGTAAGATGTGAGGCACAAATCCATGATGATCTTGAGTCACTCTAAGTCTCACAGCTGCCAAAACACACTCAACACAAATAAAAGGTGTTTTCAGCCAAATTAGCTTTTTGAGCTGACTGACTGTGTGACTACACAACTGTTTCTTCCAGCGAAGCAGGGGAGAGAGGGTGAGATTATGGGTGGGTAAAGATTTCTGTTTCAGGCAGCAATTAGTCAGGAAATGGAAGCCTCGTTCCCTTCTCGCAGCTAAGCCTGTATCTCCTACATTTTCAATGCAGCACTGTGGCTTGGCCTTGCCCTTCAACCCTGCCTACCAGAGTTACCTTGTTGGCCTAACGTGATCTGCTGAGAGGTACATCTGGAAAGTAGGGTCAAAGAGCAGAAGTGTGGCCTTAGCATTATTTTTCAAATAGGAGAATATTAGCAGGATAGGTCCTAGGAGCTACTAGGACTACCATGCTGAAAGGCATCCTGCTGGTTCTGCAGCCAGCTCCTCAGTAGTCTTATGTCCACCCCTAAATGTGCGCTCCTGCTCTCTGCTCCACTGACCATGTGTATGAGATGTCACATAATGGATTTTGAGAGTCGAGAAATCCAGATATTGTGATTTCTACTGTTATCCCTGACTGTGCCCACTGACTTCTTTCTGCTATAGGGGGATATGCTTTGAAAGAACACAAGCATGCTGTAGCTCCTACGCTTGTTCTCTTTTTAGGGTATATTCCAGCTGTACTTCTTTCTTTGCCAGTGTATGCAGATACCTGCTGCAGCGTGACTTTTTCAAGTACCTCTGATGCTTTCAGTGTGTAGGGTTCACGTATCAGGGTGTAGCTGAGAAGCAGGCAGCTATAAGTGAGGACTTCTTAAACTCAAAGGGGTGGACACTGAAAGATGAATTTATTTTCTAGTTAATCAGTTTAGGTCTTTATTAGATCTCTGGTGCTGAATGTAACAGAGCAGCTGTTAAAAGCAGTTTCCCAACTCTGCTTAAGCTGAGGATGTGCTTAAGCAGAACATGATAACTACTCCTGCAGGAGATCCTGGAGCTGAATAATCATGGGGAAAGGCCTGGGACAAAAACAGCTATCCTAATCAACACAGACCACAGAGGGCATTGGTGGCAATATCAAGAGTCTGTCCTGATGGTGCAAGGTATCTGGTGAAATGCTGTATTACTGGCAGAGATGGAGATTTGTATGGTAGATGAGTTGTCAAATGCTGTATTCAGTGAACGCTTACAGTGGCACTTCCCTTCAGCCAGCTTATTTCACATGAAATCCGTGGAGTTTAGACTTTCTGGTTATCAAGGTTCCCTGTGTGAGTTGTTAAGTGAGAAGGGTAATGGTGGAACACCAGTAAATCACCGCTAGCTATTGAAGTGTGTATTTCATGAAGGGCACTGATGTATTTAAAGATGCTGTTTTCTGCCCTCTGGTACAAAGCTGTTATGGCCTCTGCTACTGTGACAGAACATAGGTCACATATAGTTCCTCTCAACACCATAAGCAATATACACAAAGTGTTCATCAAGACTTAGCTCTATGTTCCCAGAAACTAATATTCATTCTCTACCTAGTAATCCCTGTTCATACTTGAAAAAAAACATAGTCACCTAATTTGCCCCAAATGATTTTAGGAGTTTGCCACACTAAAGAGAGCGGTGTAGGATTCATAGCTATTAGTGGAGTAACTAAAGTTATCTTGAGGACAAACCATAAACAATCAAACATTAAGTGTCAAAACAGTCATTTAGGACAATTTTACCCTAAGGCTGAACTTGTTTTCAGCATACAATGTGATGGGAAATCCAGACGAACTGTAAAGAAAGGGTCATTCCTTCAACTCATGTACACCAGGAAAAAGTGAAGATGATCACTGGCTAACACGGTGTGAGAGTGTCCTGCCTTATGGTACTTCATAAAATGCAGGAACATTAGCTCTCTTCCTGTGCTGCCCAAATTGTGCTTGGCGAAACTACACCAGCTGCTTATGGTCATTGCGATCTGGGGATATCTCTGAAAATAAATAACCTTCCAAAATGAATATATGCTTTATTAATTGTCTGACACAGTAGAACATGTAGTATTATTGGCAAACAAACTGAAGAGCTGGAGAGACACAATAAATTTTCATTGTTCCAGGGTATGGAAAATAACAGTTTTCAATTCTTTTCATTAGGGAGATTCTGTATCAATCACTATGTCACAGGAAATGTGCAGGTCAACAATTTGCATTCAGGTATGTGTCTTGATTTTGCTAGGTACTCTGTACAAAATAAACAAATCCACTCTCGCTGCTTTCTCCTCCCAGCCAAATGTGATTACTGTGTAAACAGAGTTGGTAAAGAGCATTATTTATAGTTTGATGTGCAGCCACCACCTATTGTTGTGATGACATTAATTAACAGAGAAGTTGCTCTCCGTGGTCTTGCTCCTTTATCAGTGGCAGATAAAGGGATATCATCAGGAAATTGCTAATCCTGTCTTTATATGTTCTTTTGTAATAAAAAGGTTCACGGTATCAAAAGATCCAAGTGAATCGCAGATTAATTTTTCAGAAATCGACATTAGCTGGAAAAGGTTAGGCATATAGCAAGCTGCACAGTAAGTGCATAGTATGCTAGAATTAGTACTCCTGCAAGCAGAGCTGAGCAAATTATTTCTGACATTTTTGCAAACTTTCCGTAGCTGAACTTTATTAAGACAAAATTAATAGAAAGCAAGCAGGAAGCTGAGAGGTTTATTCCTCTGTGGAGTTAATGTTCTCATCAAACACTGGGATGAGAGAGACTGACAGCCAGAGCTGTGAGGCTCCAGCAGCTTCCCTGGAATGCCCTTGTCAGCTTCACTTTCTGCTGCTAGTAAGAAAGGGGCAAGATGAAAGTGAAGATTGGCAAGAGCCTTCTGGATAATGAGAGTTATTCTTCTTTCCCTGGTGAAAAATCAGATTTGGTGGTAAAATTGATGTTTTCCTGCGTAAATAGTTTATTTTGTAAACAAGACATTATTTGTCAGAACACAGTTCCCCCCACAAAAAATCTGATTAGCTTTATCATTTAGAAACCTAAAAGTGATTACAACTCACTATGTATACACTAGACCAGCAGTCTCCATATGCATTTATTTAAAAACAGATTAAAAAATGCAGTCACTTGAATAAACTAACAAAGCAATTTTGTTTTGTCAACACAAATGTTTAGTAGCAGTTCTGCTAAGAGGGGAATAAGTCTCAATTCTTTCTTTTAAAAGGGCTGGAGGACAGATGTAGATTACTCAGTTCCACTGCAAATCTGTGATATCCACTGTGGTAAGTATGAATGATAACAAAAGGAGAATTAGGTCTTGACTATATAGAAGAGAGCATCTCAGGTGAAGTGTGTTTTCATTGGGAAACTGAGGTGGGATTCACCTGAGTGAGTGTAGGTGTCTGCATGTGAGCTAGATATGCTCAGTTTCCTTTACAGACAATGGAGTCATATACCTCAACTAGCTTTTAATTAGCTACTGCAAGGGCAACATGTGTGGCTGTCTGTTTTCTCTGCTTCCTGGGTGAAATTTCCATCCTGTGCAAAGTTCTGCGTGCCACACCTATATTTACCTTGCTGTTGGTACACGAGATAACTAGTTAAAAACAGTCCTTGGCCAGCAGGCACACAGTGCTGTCATTGTGGTGGCTGCACCACAGCCCTGCTGTTAATTCCCCACCTCTGCAAATGGGACAGTAGTACTTCCCTCTACTGCAGAAGTACAGTGATGATATTATTGTAATTTGAGGTACGCTCAGATACGCTCACAGAGTCAGAATGTTCCAAAGTCTCCAAGCCATGAAAGTAAGGCCTTGCAGAAATGAGTGAGTTCAGAGTGAACTAAGGCTGTGGGGTTTGCGGTGAAGAGCGCAGGAGTGGTTTGTAGAATCACAGAGTCACAGAATGGTAGGGGTTGGAAGGGACCTCTGAGGATCATCTGGTCCAATCCCCTGCCAAAGCAGGGTCACCTACAGCAGGCTGCACAGGGCCTTGTCCAGGTGGGTCTTGAATATCTCCAGAGAAGGAGACTCCACAGCCTCCCTGGGCAGCCTTTTCCAGTGCTCCGTCACCCTCAGAGGGAAGAAGTTCTTCCTCGTGTTCAGACGGAACTTCCTGTGCCTCAGTTTGTGCCCATTGCCCCTTGTCCTGTCGCTGGGCACCACTGAAAAGAGCTTGGCCCCATCCTCCTGACACCCATCCTTGAGATATTTATACGCATTTATAAGGTCCCCTCTCAGCCTTCTCTTCTTCAGGCTGAACAAGCCCAGCTCCGTCAGCCTTTCCTCACAGGAGAGATGCTGCAGTCCCCTCACCATCCTCATAGCCCTCCGCTGGACTCTCTCCAGTAGTTCCTCATCTTTCTTGAACTGGGGAGCCCAGCACTGGACAGAGTACTCCAGCTGGGGCCTCACTAGGGCAGAGTAGAGGAGGAGGAGAACCTCCCTCGACCTGCTGGCCACACTCTTCTTAATGCACCTCAGGATAGCATTGGCCTTCTTGGCAACAAGGGCACACTGCTGGCTCATGGTGAACTTGTCGTCCACCAGGACACCCAGGTCCCTCTCCACAGAGCTGCTCTCCAGCAGGTCCGCCCTGAGCCTGTACTGGTGTGTGGGGTTATTCCTCCCCAGGTGCAAGACCCTACACTTGCCCTTGCCGAACTTCATGAGGATTGACTAGTTTAGTACTAAAAAGTCTAAAAGGAGTCAAGCTGAAAGAAGGCTCAGTCTGAGCCTTGCCAAAAACGTCCTGCCAAACCTATCCAAACAACCAACCTCTCCTCCCAGTTCATTGTAAACATAGTGATTCCTATGACAGATTTTCTCTGTTGTCTAAAAATACCTTTCAGTTAAGTATAGCTTCAGATTAAGAAGTCAGGAAGAAATGGAGGGAAGAAGAAAGGAAGGAAGAACAAGGAGAAGGCTGGAATTTGTAGTGTAAATGTAGTTCTTTGTACAAGCACTTGCATATGCTAGTTCAGGTTTCTTCTCCACTTAAAAAGTGATAACAAGACCACTTAAGGTGAATCAATTAAATAGGCAGAGTGTTGTGATTCATGTAGCCTGGATGCATTTTCCTTATTCATATTTTCCTTTTATCAAATGTGAAGGGTATGATGAAAGCATGTAAAATAATGAAGGGCTTCAGAGATGGCAGTCTGGGAATTCCCCTCCACCTTGTAGCAGGAGAGAATGGGTCTGTGTATTACATGAAAATGGGGGAACACCGAAAACTGATTAAAGAACTTTTTGGGCACAGTATTTGATTTAAATGTGGAACTTCTTGTTCTGATCAAGAATTTGTGGAGATTCAGAAAAAAAATGTGAGAAATTGTGCACATATCAGTAATATCAGACCTGTAATACAGGATCACTATGTTTGTGGTATAGAGGATCTTGACCTCATGCTTCATGGATTCTTCCATACTTCATATATTTGTGATAATGCGGTCCACATTAGTGGGTGGATAATTCCATCTCTGCCAGCTGACCAGGAGGGTGTTCCCAAAACCTCCCTCTGAGGCAGGTGGGACAGGTCAGAGTCCGAGATGGGACACTGAACTAGCTGGGTCTGACTCATTGCTGTAATTTCTGTGTTCTTAATGACTCGTCAGGAGCCATTAACTGCTTCTCATGTGCAAGATTTTTAGTGTAACAGTAATACCATTACTACTAAAGACTTTTTGTATTCTTAAATGGTTATTTTTTATAAAAAAGATACTTTCTCAAGCACTAGATTTTTAAAATCAGGAGACGATGAAAGTTTCTTAAAGACAATGTCAGCGAGGGTGATAATTCTTACACTGGGATGCTATTGTGTTTGAACCTAAGATACTGAGAAAAACAATCCACGTAAAGGTCAAGGAAATATTAAACCTAAGATTTGTCCATAATTTCTGACAACTTGGATTATACACAATGTAAAAGTAAATGAGAAATCTTATAATGGCAGAGTGAAAATAGTGAAAATATTTACTGCATACGTCTTTATAAAATAGAAACTTACACTGTTAAGTATTGCTGTTAAAGATACCGAGCAGCATCAGTGTGTCCAAAAGAGCCATGGTGTTATTAACATGTGTTTTGTTACTCAAAACCAAGATTCCAGTGATGACAGTATCTACTATAAAAAAAATTAGTGTAGCTGACCATCATGAAGGCTACTCTCTTTCCAGCTGCAGGAAGAGTTTTCTGGCATGTAGATTGCGTTATATTGCAAGGCATTACGTTTTTCTATTGGTAGCTGTGCTTTAGAATTAGAATGGCTTAGCCTTATTTGTCCTACAAAGCATGGAAATGGATTTTTTTTTTTCCATGTAATAGCATTGCATTAGAGGCAAAACTTTATGTTCTTTTTAAATTTTGTTTTTCCTTTGGCCACTTTTCTGGATTCCGTTTAATGTAGTCAAACATTTTGAAACATTATTTCACCTATTAAAAAACAAACTTATCTCTTCTGAATGAAACAATAACCCAAATCAGTTAAGGTGAGAATAAATATGCGAATTATGATGAAAACAAAATGGCAACCTACATTTGAACTTGTTTCTTCAGGTTTTCGTGGTCAGACATATGGTGATGGAAACCCAGCAAAGGCCATGACGCACAGGTATCCACCCAATATACAGTTTCAAACATCTTTGAGAGTTGATAGAGTTGTTAATCTTGAAAACATATCATTGGCTTCTCCAAAGAACCTAGCTCTACTCTCTCCTTGTCCCCACTGCAGACATCTCTTGCTCCTGTGTTTTCTCTCCTCTTGCTCTCTCTGTATTGCACCACAGTGCAGTCTGGCATCAGAGGTAGCTGCCTTGCTGCCAGAGAGAGAGGGCAAAAGGAGACAAATAGCCAGTGGAAATGAGAAGTCTGTAAAGTAACAAGACAACCTTCAAGAGCCCTGGAACAATCTCAGATTTACTGAGTATGACATTCACATTATTAGCACCTGCCTGCTGCTTTCTCCCTGACATTTGCAGGCATATCGGTCCCCTCTGTGACATGTCTGCTCAGCTATTCCAGTGCTTCTTTTCATTCTCACAGCCCTTTGCAAAACACCTATTCCTAGGTTGTAAACAAATCAGTCATTAGTGCAGCCCATGGATGTATGATCTGGTAGACCCTGAGCTCTTAAAAATGCTCTTCCTTTAAGGATACCCTTTTGGCTTTTCCCTTGTCAGAAGATACAATTCAGAATAAAGTATCTTGGGTTTATTTATTTGTTTGTATGAGTGCTGTTTGGACTGTGACAGTCAAGTCAACAAGCTGTAGACAAATGGTTAGATTTGTTATTTAACTCCAACTATATATGACTGCAATGAACTCTCTCACGCTTCAGAGAAAAAAAGCCAATCTTCTTTCTTCTTCTGTTTTTTCCATAGAATGAAGAGTGTGCATTCTTTGCATTGAATTTCGCAACACATTTTCAAGGTCCTTAGTATCTTCTCAACATCAAGTTGTATTTTGGTGTAACTTGCATATCTTGTCTAACTGGTCATCTCTCATGTTAGTAGTTTCTGCTAATTACTGTGAGATTATTCTCCTGAGTGAAGAATTTAGCAAATTAAACCTATTCTAACATGTCCAAAAGAAGCTGGATTATGATCCCTCATTTGCCAGTATTTCAAAACAAAACAAATGTCTTGGGTCACTTGAGAATCACGTTCACATTTTCCTTCTAAATTAATATTTTATATGCAATATGCTATAAATGAGTACTTTGATAGTACCTTGTGTACCTATAGAACAAGGACCTCAGATTTTCTTATTTGTAGCCTTTGTTTTTAAACCATAAGCAAAAATTTTTGAGGAATGAAGAATGGGGAGGGTTTTCTCAGCTTTGTTACATTATACTTCTTTGTAATTACCATTGTTTTCTGATGTCATTCTGATTATTTCACCATGACAGACCATATTCCTTAAATACATCTGACAACTGTTTTCTGTGTTTGCATTTGTATTTGACTTGGAGATAACTTTCCTACTTGTCTGAGGAGGTACATGTCTTTGGTTTGATAGCTATTTAAAACTGTCCTATGGAAATTCAGCCTAGAAGGGAACAGTTTAGTAGAAAGAATGGAAGTATTTTTTTAATGTTATATCAGTATTTATGCGCAGTTGTTGAGAATAATATTACACACTGTACTGATTATCAAACATTTGGCCTTTATTTCACTGAATACTCCTGTCAAACATCCTTACTTCCTGTTGTGTAACAAGAAAATAAAGTCAGCTAGAAGATGATTAATAGCAAATCCTGAAACCATGTGAAATTGCTCATGTGAGATCAGGAATATGGGTGAGGAGTAAGGGTCTGGAACAAGAAGCTGATCAATAAAAAAATATTTTCCATCTGAATGTGTTTTTTTGTTTCAAGTCTTGGAAAGAGTGGTTTACAGGAGACATATCTGCTGTGTTGAAACACCACGTTTTTGAGGTGCCCTGAAGAGGACAAATTCTGCTTGGCTCCTTTGATATCAAAGCTTCAGTGTGTAGATGGCACATCTATTCGATATATTCTTATTCCAAGCAGTGCTACAGCTCCAAAAGCAGAGGCGGCAAGGCAGGTCTCCTAAAGCATTTAGTTACTTGCTTTGGCTGTGCAATAGAAGCACCGATCTATTCAGTCATCTGCTTTTCCTTTAATACCCTCCGGACTGCAGCCAGAAAGGAGACCTTCAGCCATTCAACTGAGAGAGCATCATAACATTACTCTCTTCACTTTCCTCCAGCAGCAGAGTCTTAAGATCAGCTTTTTGAGTATGTCCTCAGACTGAAAATGAATGAAAATTATACAGATGTGGCAGGATCTGAAAACCTAAGTGTAGCTAAGACAAAACACCACCACCAATGACAAGTTCTTACAAGGTCCTGAAGCAGCAATAGCTGTACTGAAGCTGGATGCTTTCCATGATAAGATCTTGTTTCAGCTGCACAGACACTAAATCTCTTGCAGTGTATCTTCTCTTGTTGGCTGCAATGATGGAAATATCAAAGAGAATGTGACCAGCCACGGTCCTCTCATCACTTCGGTGCAGTTTTACAGGAAAGTTTGAAAGGTGAGCATAGCAGACATGTCACTTAAATTAACTACCTGAGAGTAAAGTGTTCATCCAAAGGGAGTAGTCTAGGCTCCCTTGATGGCCGTTGCGGAGAGACAGGTACTTCCCAAGCATATTTCATTCTGTTTGGATACTTGTTTTAGAGGGAGCCTAGGCAACTTAGCCTAAATATTGAATGTTTGAAAAAAATCCCTAATTGTATTTCCATACTTTGGCTCAGGTGTGCCTGTTTGCATTTGTGTTGTGAGAAAATTGTGGGTAGCTTTTCTGCTTGACTCCCAAGCTGATCTTTAGGAGTCCTGTTTCTAATACACTACTTCAGGTAAACATTATCTCTTCTGATTGTAAAATTCCTGCTCCACCTGAGACCAGCTCTTCCTGCTCTCTCAGACGGTGACTGGACCACCCTATACATGTAATGTGCTGGAAGGAGTTCCACTCAGGTGGTGCCTTTCCTAGAGAAGTTAGATTTCTGCATTCCTAAGCTATTAGACACTACTGTCCTTGTGATATTACAGCTGCAAAAATAAAGTTTTGGGGTTTTTCTTCTGTTTCACAAGGCATTTTAAATATTGGTAGGTCAATCCTGAAAGAAGAAGGTATGAGAATCTTTCCCAGCTCTAAAAGTATTCACTTCACTCTGCTGACCACTGAAGTGTTTTCTTTTTCTCACCCAAACTATGCAGAAGTTTTGCAATATTGACCAATGCACAAGTAAATGTGCTGGAGTAACTGTCAAATGCAAAAAACCCTATATGATTGCCTATAGACTTGGCTAATTTTGTAGACCCTCCATTATTTTGTTGAAGGAAATTTTCTTCTTGCTTATTGTGGGCCTGGTCCAGTCACCCTATTTTGATACAACTCGCAGTTCTTTGGTTTTCACTTCATATGTACATTCTTACTATTATCACAGAGCATCAATGTCCTAGTTCTTCTGAGATATTAGCATATATCAGATCAGAATAAGCACTGGTAGATGCTTTGTAGTAATCTCTTCAAACGACTTTCATTTGTGTCCAGTGCATTGCACAAACCTGAAACTAACATTTAAAGTAACCACATAAATTAAGATAGTTTTCCTCCACTTATTTAGGGACGTATTTTCACTTGCCATGCCCACGCTGGTTCTGATGTGGGAAACCACACTAATGCTGCTGCAGTATTTTCGATGTCTTTATTTGCAGTATTGGATATGTATCCTTGATAACCAGTTACAGCTGAGCGGCACGCTTGAGTTGCCACGTCCTAATGGGTAGCTGTGTATTCACTAAGCCATAATAACAGCCACAGCAGATCTAGTCCAGTGCTCTGCAGGCCGTGTTCCTGACCCATCTCTATTCTGGACTTCTGATAAACTATTTCACAGAAATAAATGAGAAGAGAAATAATGATACTTTTGTAGGGTTAGTTTGCAGCTGATGTCAGTCCCTGAACTACAAAGTCAGCAACATGTGAGCCAGCAGAAGGGAAGCAGCCCAGCTGTAGGGCAGTGGAAACAGCACTGCTCCTGTTAATTCCTCAGCAGATTGACTGGGCTGTAATGTAATGCTACAACCTGATCATGTGCCTGTGCTTAGCAAACAGAAGAAAATGTTTTTGCTTCAATTTGCTGTGAAAAGTTTCAATGAGCAAATTCCCCTTGCTCATATCCTATCAACAGCTGGCCTTAAAAAATGGTGGCTTTATCTTATATCTTATAATTTTTTATTGTATGCAGAAATATCTTTCCTGGATTAAGAAAACAATTTCTCTCTCTTATCCGGAAAGCCATTTAGCACAAACGTAATGCTGCTGTGTTTAGTGCAGTACTGGAACAAGTCCTGGAGCGTGTCCAGAGAAGGGCAATGAGGCTGGTGAGGGGTCTGGAGAACAAATCTGATGAGGAGGGTCTGAGGGAACTGGGGCTGTTTAGTCTGGAGAAGAGGCGGCTGAGGGGGGACCTTCTTGCTCTCTACAACTACCTGAAAGGAGGTTGTAGTGAGGCAGGCGTTGGTCTCTTCTCCCAGGTAACTAGCAATAGGATGAGAGGCAATGGCCTCAAGTTGCATCAGGGGAGGTTTAGACTGGATATTAGGAAAAATTTCTTTTCTGAAAGCGTGGTCAGACACTGGAACAGGCTGCCCAGGGATGTGGTTGAGTCCCCATCCCTGGAGGGGTTTACAAAGCGTGTAGATGTGGCACTTCGGGATATCGTTTAGCAGGCATGGTGGTGTTGGGTGGATGGTTGGACTTGATGATCTTAGAGGTCTTTTCCAACGAATGATTCTATGATAAGTCCGGTGGCAAAGGTGGGAGTTATTACTCCCATCCCTCTTCTGGTTTTCTACTTCTCCAAGCCATTGTCAGTATCAATGCCTCACATTTTGCAGGAACAGGCTGTTTGATGTGGTCTAAGTGCCATTTTTTAAGATCTTTAACTAAATAAGCAAGAGTCAGTTCCTGTATTGGATTCACAAGAATTCTAGAAATCGTGATTTCCTGGGAGCCATCAATGTCAAGGCAGATCTCATCTACTCTCTATCTTACATTGGACTAAATGACTCCTTATATAGCTGATACAATAAAAACAGGACAGCTTATCTACTGACAAGCAGATGATAATTTCTCTAGATCACATCTTTCAACACATGGAATCTGTAAGATATATTTCCTGCCATTGACTACATGCTGACTAATGAAACCCAAACCATCCTTTTTTAAAGTTCTGTAAGTTCCTATCTAACTTCTAAAGGTCCAGTTTTCAAAGTCAGCTTGGAACTGGATCATGTTCCACGTTGCTCTCTCCACATGAGTGCTGTAAGGTTTTGGACCTTTTCATATCATAGCAAATATAATAAAAAAACTCTTGCCTCTGAGCTAATTGCCACTATTTTCATGTATTTCACAGCTTCTAGTATATGCTCAGTGGCTGAACACCCACTGCAGAGGCTTCCATGCTTTGCTTTCATGACTTATATGCTTGCTGAAGCCGGGTTTGTGCTTGGCTAAAAGTTTTTACATGACAAGTTCTCTGACAGGATGTGTCTGGAATGAGAAAAGATGAAAGGCAAAAGAAGGTGCAGAGATAGGCTGACTAGATAAAAGATGGGGAGAATGTATTTTGAGCCTTCTGTGGGCACAGGTAGGGAGAAGCACTCAGCAGGAAAGAGCATACATAAAGCCTGCAGAAGGAAGCTCATAAGGACAAAGGATGAAGTGGACGTGCAGAAGCGGATGACTGGAGGTGGGGCAGGGGTGATGGACTGGAGAGGACAAAGAGTGAGAGGCAGAAGAGGAAGGGGGAGGTGAAGCCAGCCAGTCCAGGTGTGATTCACATTGCTGGATCAGATCTACTCCTCACTCGGA